TGGCCAGAAAGTCAAAACCAAGGAGAGAAGAGAACATAAATAACAGCTCCATGAGATTACTAAGATTGAGCTTTATGCTTGGCCAACTCTGCCAGCTCCTCCTTCCCCTCTCTTCAGTCCTGACAAGTGCAAATACCAGCATTGCCTCAGGCCTCAGCCCAATCAGGCTCACCCAACAGGAGTGTCCCAGGCACTAGTCTCTGCTGTGGGGCCCCACGCAAGAGACGTTTCTCTCAATCATCCCAGAGAGATCAGGGAATACCAACCACTTTCTTGCTGACTTGTATTTTTCTTGCCCCCAAACTTCCAGCTGGGCATGTAGTACACTAGCAGGGAAATATTTACTTTAAATTAAACCCCACTTCCACACAAGCAACATTTGGGAGGGTCCACATGGGGTTTGTGGGGCACAGGCAAAATAAGATTGCCCTGTGGCTATGAGGAAGAGAGGAGACACCAGGACGGAATTGTGAAGAGTGGACAGTTAAGTGTTGGGGAGATGATAACCTGGTATAAGATAATGAATTCGCAAGCAGAGACCCCAGGACAAGTTTCAGAATGCCAGGCAGCAGTTGGAGCTGGGAGACCTTGGGGGGTGATGGAGTGTAACCCACGCTTACGCTCCAAGTATTAGGGGCCACAGGGCCATTTGGAAAACCCACATGTGCGCACACATACACCCTCACACCCAGATCACCATTAACAAAGAAGAGCTGGTATTTCTTTCAGGATAACTTGGGTTCAAATCTCAGCTGTGCTACAAGCTGGCTAAACTATGCAGTTGTCTTAGTTGTTTTACCATTTAGAGCTTCAATTTCCTTTGGTCCATAGGGATGAATATATGCTTCTGAAGGGGAGCAAAGTAAACCACCCCCCAAACCTGGATTTTCAGTGTAAGGATTACCTTGGGCTTGTTATTTTTTTTTTTTTTTTATAGAGGCGTGTTTTATTTATTTATTTATTTGTTTGTACATGCACTGGGTACAGTCAGAAGTGCGGGAGGAAGAGAGAATTCACCAGAGCGGGGAGCAGAGCAGGCAAAAGGACCGAAGTACACTGCCGAGGGGAGCAGCGGGCAGCAGGAGAGGTCTGCGCGCCATGTGGGACCCTCCTCCAGTGGCTGGGGAGCAGCCTGGGATTGAACCTGCGCCACAGAGGCCGCGGGCAGCTTCGCAACCCAGCGCTCCACCGCTGCGCCACCAGGGAAGCCCGGGCTTGTTATTTTTTAAGAAACAGAAGATAATAGGAAAAGCTCTGAAAACCCAAGTAGAATTTCCCTTTTGTAGGAGACACTTAACGTTTATAAGGGAAATCTCCATTCATCGGGCCATCTCCGACTCTGTACCAGGAATTGGAGAATGCCTACATTTCTAAAAGCTCTTGTCAGTCGAGAAGGCAGCGACTTAAATCTGCATGGCAGCCATCCCCTAGTTTGCTCTGCCTTCCCGGTAACCTCCCATAACTGACCTCCTTCACCCAACCCTCAGTGTCTTGTCTTTAGCTGAAAGTGATACTTAAGATGATGGCTGGAGCCCTCTCAGAGAGTTACTCGGTTCTTCTGGGCCTCTCCCATGTCTAGAGAGAAGCATACACGTTATTTCCCTGTCAGTTTATCTTTTATTATAGAGGGTTCTCAGATTAGATAGGCAGAGGGGAGATCATTTTTCCCCCCTGCCTTTCCCTGGATGTCACGACGGCTAGAAACAGCGGATGGCAAATTGTCCTCCAGTGTGGGGCTCACAGGGTGCTGCAGCAGCCACGTATCACCGTGCTGGGGAAGAAGCCTTGGCATTCTCTCCATACACGGTGTCCCACGTGGATAAAGGGATTCTTTCGATTATGCAGCTAATATTACTCTCCAGTTTTATAATGACATTTTGCATGCATTATCTCTCCGGACCCAGGTCATGGAAGTTGTCGAGGGGTAGGGAGAAGGGATGGGGAAGAGACAGGAGAGGTCTGCTGTGCCATATGTGGGTTAGCTCTCTGGCCAGGATTGAACTCAGGCCATAGCCATGACAGTGCTGAGACTTAACCGCTAGGCCAGCAGGGAGGCCTTGTTGGTCTAGTTTTGAAGAGCATCACAATAGGAAAACATCGGGAAGGAATTTTCAGCAAATAGGTAACAATGACTTTCTGTCCATGTTTGCATTGTCTGGATTTTTATACTGTCCATATCTGTATTGGCTGGATTATTTGATGCATGCATTCTCTTATTACTTGTGTGGCAATATTGTTTTAAGTGAAGTGCTCCTGGAAACCTAAAGTCAGAAGATTGATTTGAAGGCAGTTTTATTGCAGAGCAAAGGAAAGGGAAATCTTGTTCCTTGACCCTTTATTCCATATATTTTTAAAAGATTTATTAATTTATGCATACAAGAGTTGGGGTATAGGCCAGAGGTATGGGGGATGAGAGGATTCACCAGAGACAGGGTAGAAGCAGAACAGGTGGATCTACTGAAATACACTGCTGAGGGGAGCAGTGGGCAAGACAGGAGAGGTCTGCTGTACTATGTGGGTCACCTCCCTGGCTGGGGATTGAATTTGTGCTGCAGTAGCTGCAAATTGCTTCACAGTGCTGATGCTTAACTCCCTTTGCCACAAGGAAGGCCCCTATTCCATATTTTAAACTCTGTTTGATAATTGAACAGCCATGATTTCATTTAATCACCGTGAGTTGGCTATTTTCAGTCATTGAGCCTGGTTGAATCACCATGCCTGGGAAAATGAGGCTGTGGCCAAAATGTTATCCATATGTGTCATTAGTGTCAACTGAGTAAGTGCTTGAGACATACTTTGTTTCTGGCATTTTATTTCTGTAATTCTTATTTGCTTTGCAAAGACTTTCTATACCTGTCATTTTATTAGCTCACTGAATATCCAACAGCAGTGTCTTCTCATCTTTAATTCTCCTATGTATCTGAAACATACTTTGTTCATAAGAGGAACTCAATGAGAAATTTTTTTAAATGTTAAAAAAAAAAAGATGGGGCCTCCCCTGGTGGTGCAGTGGTTGAGCGCTGGGTTGCAAGGCTGCCCGCAGCCTCTGAGGCGACGGTTCGATCCCCGGCCACCGGCGAGGGTCCCACAAAAAAATAAAATAAATAAAATAAAATAAAATGTTAAAAAAAAAGATGGAGAATTGGGGAGGAAAGTAAGGGTTTGGTGGGCTTGCTACTTTTCAGCTTGCTACTAATCCATGTGATACTTTTTGGAGACAGAACCTTCAAAGATATGAGTAAGTTAAATGGAAAACATGGGCTGGGGCTCTAATCCAACATGACTGGTGTCTTTATAAAAGCGAGAGCGATATAGGGTGTGCGTGCACAGAGAAAAGGCCCGGTGAGGACACAGAGAAAAGGTGACCATTGGCGAGGATCAAGACCTCAGGAGAAGTCAAACCTGCCAACACCTTAATCTTAAACTTCCAGCCTCCAAAACCATGAGAAAATTAATTTCTATTGTTAAAACCACCTAATATTTTGCTATGGCAGCTATAGCAACCAATATACCCTGTCTTGTAGAAAACAAGTTTTTTCCAACTCATTTGTGTGTAGATTTTTAAAAAATATTTATTTATTTATGCATACAAGAACTGGCCAGAAGTAGGGGGGATAAGAAGATTCACCAGAGAGAGAGTGGGGAGCAGAACAGGGAGATCTACTGCCGCGGACCAGCACAGCAGTGGATGATGAGGCCGTCTCAGGATTGAGAGATCGCGCAGAGTGGTCAAGGATTAGGCGAATAAATGACACATAGACACACTTCAAGAGAGTGAAAATCTGAGTGTAATTTTCTTTGAGTCGGTGGCCAGTATATATATGTTCTCTAAAAGCATAGGAACGGCGAACATCAGTGAGCGAAATCAGCTTGTTCATAGGTTTAGCTTATCATTGACAGGGCAGTGATCTATGTCCGAAGTTACATCTGGACCTAGTCACATTCCTAAGTAGTCAGGCTATTAATTTTTCTTCTGTTCTATGTAATTACTTTTTTGTTTTAATAACTACTCACTATCACTAAATCATTATTAATTAGCATGGGTGAATTTACTCTTTACAAAGTAATATCTTTTCATTAAGATTAAAGCTAACAAAGCCAAGCACACAACAGAGAAATCATTAAACTAACAATTCCATTATTACACAGAGTTTAGTAATGTTTCATTGGAATTAGCCTAGTTATTAAATTACGTATGTTTTTTAATTAGCAACCAATGACCTTTTTAGACCGGGAAAAAGAAAAGATTTTAGAAAGACAGTTGTAGTAGAATAAAGTTCGTGGGCCTTGAGAAAGCGAGATAAGGTTCCGTGTGGTCAGCATTCCTTTCAACAATCTTTGTGGCGGCTTCTGGTAGTCTTTATCTCTTAACAGGCATCCGGCTTATCTGTATCTTAGGGAGTTTGCTGTTCTCCCCCTGCGCGCATGGTTCCTTGCCCACTCCGGACCTCAGGGACCATGGCAACAGCCATTAGCCCTGAAGGTCACGGCAGGGGGAGGTGCAGCAATCTACTGAAATACACTGCTGAAGAGAGCAGCAGGTGAGACAGGAGAGGTCTGTTGCACCATGTGGGTAGCTCCCTGGCTGGGGATCGAACTCCTGCTGCAGTAGCTGCGAATAGCTTCATGGTGCTGAGACAACCCCTTGTACCACCAGGGAGGCCTCCATTTTGTTGAAAGTTTTTGTTTTTAATTTTTTTTAAAGATTTATCCATTTATGCATACAAGAGCTGGGGTACCAGCCAGAGATGTGGGGGGTGAGAGGATTCACCAGAGACAGAGTGGGGAGCAGAACAGGCAGACCGACTGAAATAGGGGAGCGGTGGGCGAGGCAGGAAAGGTCTGCTGCGCCATGTGGGTTACTCCCTGGCAGCCGGGGATTGAACTCATGCTGCTGAGTCTGCGGATTGCTTCATAGTGCAGTGTTTAACCCCTTGCGCCACCAGGGAGGCCCCATTTGTTCAAAGTTTTTGAGGGCAACGAATAATCTTTCCTGCCAAACTGACAATGTAGTACAGTTAACATCTGACTATTCCTTAACATGACACAACTTATGCAGAAAACTGAGAAGTCCATCTCTTGAATACTTCACTCGCTGCCTTGTTAACTGAAAGCCTAGGAAGGAGAAAAAAGGAATCCTATCCCCATGATACACGCCTACACGACATGATACATTTAGGGTCAGAGGTCACAAAGATGATCACTAGGAGGTAGTGTTCATTGAGTTCAGAAAAGGCTCTGTCGGGGCTGCTCTTTGCAAGGCTGTGATGAAGTGGGATGCCTCCGACCTGGGGGAAGAGTACACAGGGCAAGCCACAAAGCTGAGCAGGGCCGGGTGGACCAGTGACAGCAGCGGGTCCTCAGGCCGCAGGACCCCAGGACACCCGGGCTCACACACTTCCTGAAGCAGCCCCGCCCAGGTGGAAGCCCCACCCTCTCCCAGACGGATCAAAACCCAAATCTCCGCAGAGCACTCGGCTTCGGAACCCCAGCCACTTTCATCAGGTGGTGCAACTTGCGGATTCTGGTAAGCAGACCGCCCTGCGCCTCCATTTTGTTGTTTTCCTGCTGGGTTTCTAGATTCCCCTACTGCGGGGCTTTTGCGTGTTGCTCCTTTCTCCTGGTGCTTGCATTCGGAGAAAACTTGGAAGCGGGATGTCCCCACCCATGCCTCCTGCTCAGCAGGTCCTGGGAGCCATCGGAGACAGGCCTGCCCAGGGAGGAGGCGGGCGGAGGAACTCGCGAGACTGCAAAACTGAGGCCAGTGTAGAAGTGTTGTAGAGCAGCCCCGATACAAAACGGGGTTCCTGACTGTGGGTCCTCACCTGCGCGCTTAAAAGGACTTATCAATGCTCTACTGCAGGCACACACGAAAGGTTAATAAAAGGTTTATTTACAAGGGAAGGGCAAATGAGGAAATGTACAGCTCAGGGAGAAAAGTGGGAGACAAAGTTTTAAATGAGTCCTACCCGATCTGCCGATCAGGAATCCCAAAATGGCACTCTGAGAGCTGGCCACGAGCCAGGGGCCGTGAAGCCAGGAGGCGAGCGACAGCGAGCCAGCCCAAGGCCCACGTGTTTGGTTTTTATATCCAACCTGGCTGCCCAACTCCACCCTCAGGTCCCAGCCACCCTCCCTTGGTGGTGACGGGATTTGTCTTTCCCAATGTCCTGATGGCTTTAGTCTGGAGTGGGGGTGGAGTCCACAAAGCCTGCATGGGATTAGCGCAGGACATCATTTCCCCCTAACAGAAGGAGAAGAGACATAGGGGTCGGTATTCGATTAGTGGGCACGGGTGTGTGTGGATGGGGCGAGGAAGTGGGCGCCGTGGACCGGAGCGCTCCGTGCCAGCCCCCAGCCCCGTCCTCTGCTGGCTGGAGGCCCTTGGAACCCGCCCCCTCTGCGGCCACACCCTTTCCTGGGGCTGCTCCATTTGTGGCGAGTTCAAGATTCTTAGCGTTTCCCTTTTTGAGAAAAGAAACAAGAAAGAACAGCCGGGCTGCAGACTGGACTTCCCCAACCGCGCCGCTGGGGACACGTGCGAAGTGTCCCCTCTAGGCCACTACTGCCCCCTCTTCCCGCGGGGACGGCACATTCACTTGTGGGGAGGGCGCGGGGAGGGCGCTCCTGGCCCGAGCGTGGGGACAGGTTCAGCCATCGCCTCTGGGTTAGGCGTGGAGGCAGATTTAAAGCCAAGCGAATCCTGGTTTTCCTTTTGGTGCCAAAGAACGCGCGCGCCTGCGAGTGGAGAGACGCAGCAGCGCCACCGCGTGGTTCTGAGACTGGGCCTTGGACCTGACCCGCTGTGCATCTTCTGGTCGCTTCTTTCGTCGACGTTCTTTTTTTTTTTTTTTTTTAATTTTATTTTTTTTTTTTTTATTTATTTTTTTATTTTATAATAAATTTTATTTTTATATTCCCCATACAATTGCAACCCCCTTATTTTGACCCCAATCCCTCCCCTCCCACCCTCTACCCCCCAGAGAGTGTCTCTGGTTCATAGTTTTTTGTTGATTTTGATTTTCACTTTCTTATAGTTATTCACTTCATGTGAGATGAGAAAAGGAATATTTGCACTCCGGGTAGCTGTTCAATTGGGTTACTTTTTTGCCTGCTTCCCTGCCTTGGAGATTTTCTCAGAAAGCCTCCTTTTCTCTGTCTCCATCTCCATGTACACATTGCGCGCTGGGCACGATTATAATGCCTGTCTTATAGGGAAGTTAATGAGGACAAAATGTGGTGATGCCTGTGTGATGTTTGGCACGTCAACAAAAACAGTGAATACTAAATCAGTGTGATTGATGGTAAATGATAGTGAGGACGGGTAGACTGCTCCCTAGCCTCAGTGCCTCTGCCAGGGAACCATAATAACCCTTTCACTTAAAGGCAGTCAACTACATGTTCTCTGTGTTCTAGGAGCTTCAGGATGGTTCATGCTAAGCGCTGGCTCCTGAAGAAACACTTCGAAGGCAGCCCTACCGATAGTAACTTTGAATTGAAGACAGTTGAACTCCCACCCTTAAAAAATGGAGGTAAGTGGCGACTCCACTGACCCCCGCCTTGGGTCTGTGAGGTCCGCCCAGGAGCAATAAACTTTCCCTTCCCCCCACCAAAACAAAACAAAACAAACAAAAAAATGGAGGTAAGTCATACCCCTCAGCTTTGAGTTGAAACGGACTACAGTCTTTGCTGCCCAACAGACTACCCCCAAATTTATTGATTTCAAACAGTAGTTGTTTATTAGCTCATAATTCCGAGGGTTAGCAGTTTTGATTAGGTTAACATGATGCTTCTTGCGTAGGGCTAAATGGTGCATTTAGAGTGGGCTGTAGCCACAGGCCCGGTGGCTAGCTGGCTTTTTGCTGAGGTCTGTGCCTTGTTCACCCCTATGTGGCCAACCCCAAATTCAAGTAGTGGGAAATAAACTTTTTTTTTTAAGATTTATTTATTTATTTATACAAGCACTGGGTACAGTCAGAAGCACGGGAAGGTGAGAGAATTCACCAGAGACAGAGCGGGGAGCAGAGCAGGCAGAAGGACGAAATACACTGCTGAGGGGAGCAGCGGGCGGCAGGAGAGGTCTGCGCTCCATGTGGGACCCTCGCCAGTGGCCGGGGATTGAACTGGCGCTTCAGAGGCTGCGGGCAGCTTCGCAACCCAGCGCTCAACTGCTGCGCCACCAGGGGAGGCCCGGAAATAAACTTCTTAATGGGAGGAATGGTAAACAGGCCGGTGCACAGAGATGGCAGGCTTTGGTGGCCATTTTGCTGTCTGCCACAGACTTCTTCAAGGTCCTCTGTGTGAAGAGTGTTGAAGCCATGTTGTGGGATCCTTCTGTTTTCCTTACTCATGCATTATTCTTCATGACTTTGGACACACCCTGGGGAGGATTTCCTCTGTGTCCTGGTGAGCCAGATGAGGACAGTGGGGTAAGCACTGTCTGGCGGAGAGCTCAGACTGCCTTGTGAGCAGACAAGGAGGGAAAAACCTGCATCTTTCAGTGAGGAGCCTCCCATCCTTTTGTGGGAAGTAATGGGCCAGGAAAAGTCTAAAGCAATCTAATGGGGAGTAATGGTAACATACCCAACATTTCTGGAAATTAGCTTTGTAGGCAGAATATAGAGGTGTAGGTAATATGCAGGTAAGCTTTGAGGAAAGGGCATGCAAGCAAGTAACGTGGCAGTTATCAAGTCCATGTCAGCTGACAGCCAGGACTCAGTTACAAATTCCAGAGAATGCACACAGGGGCGGGGTCGTCATTCCAGCAAAAATGCATATTTTTTAATACCAACCGGGGCTGGTAATGAAACCCTATGCAAATGTCATAACATAGTGGTTACAAATGTGGCCCTGGCAAATTACTTAACCTAAACTTAAATAAAATGGAATCAATAATTGTTGAGAATGTTAAATGAAACAATTTATGTAAAGCATAGAGTGAGTGCTAAGTAATAGCATCATGAAGATGATGAAGATGAAGAAGACGACCCAGCTGAGTCAGATATGACAGCCCTTCTTGGCTTTTCAATAGGAAGCACAGATGAGAGCTCAACTCTGAAGCAGAAACATTATCTCTGTCTAGAATGTTAAAGACAAGGCATCAGGTCCTCCACGGTGGCGCAGCGGGTTGAGCGCAGTGCTGTGAAGCTGTCCGCAGCCTCTGCAGCGCCAGTTTGATTCCCAGCCAGCCAGGGAGATTCCCACCTGGCATAACAGACCTCTCCTGTCTCCTCCGCTGCTTCCCTCAGCAGTGTATTTCGGTCCATCTGCCTGTTCTTCTCTCTGCTCTCTCTGGTGAATCCTCTCACCCTCCTGTGCCTCTGGCCTATACCCCAGCTCTTGTATAACAATAAATAAATCTTTAAAAAAAAAAAAAGACAAGGCATCAGCCTTGAGTTTCTGATTGACTCTGGAATGCTTTATTTTGTAGAGGTTCTGCTGGAAGCTTTGTTCCTCACTGTGGATCCTTATATGAGGTATTGTTATTTCCTCCTAAAAATTCTGAAATTGAGTGTTGGACCCTCTTTAGAAGTAATTTAAATGCCCAACTATTTCAAAACACTGTCACCCCCATTTCTCCAATGGGAGAAATAGTCCTGTAACAGTGTTCATGGACGTTCATCTTTTGCAGGCAAAAGTCTGAGAAGCTTGTGAGGGGTACCCTGGCCCCTTCTTTTTACCTCCATTTTTAATATGCACAATTTGCCTGTCATTGCTCACCAGAATTGCTTCTAGAAAATTTAAAAGAAAAAAGAACTCAAACTCTAATTTTCCCATTTCACTACTGGCAATAATTGGGTAGAGGAAGAAGCAATGTTCTTGCCTTTCTAAAATTGTATTGTTTTAGTTTGGCTAATTTGCTATTGACTCAAATAAATGCCCTCACATTTCTGGGTTTCAGTTCAGCACAAACTTCCCTAGTGGTTTTCCATTTGGCAATGGAACTCAAGATAATTTTTCCCAGATGCTCTTATAGTTAAGAATGGAATTTTTTTTTTCCAGAATGGCAGCCAAAAGATTGAAGGAGGGTGACATGATGATGGGGCAACAAGTGGCCAGGTAGTTATTTCCGTTTTTTCCATTGTTTGGGAATGATGCTGGGCCCTGTCTCTGCCGGTTCACTCACTGTTGGATCCTGGTGGTAACTTGGGCCATTGGCCTCCTTTTTGAATAACTGGGGGGAGGGAGAGAAGGCTGTGAAATTCACTATTTCAACTTCACTTTGCTACCCTTACTCTTTTTTTTAAAGATTTATTTATTCATTTATACAAACACTGGGCACAGTCAGAAGCGCGGGAGGGTGAGAGAATCCACCAGAGCCAGAGCGGAAAGCAGAACAGGCAGACGGGCGAAATACACTGCTGAGGGGAGCAGCGGGCTGCAGGAGAGGTCTGCGCACCATGTGGGACCCTCGCAGGTGGCCAGGGATTGAACCGTCGCTGCAGAGGCTGCGGGCCACTTCGCAGCCCAGCGTTCAACCGCTGTGCCACCAAGGGAGGCCCGCTACCCTTACTCTTAATGACTAAAGAAACAAAATGTATTCAGCTTGCATGTGGTCATTGTAAAAACTTAAATTAAAAATGTACATCTCAGATACCAGAAGTTTCCGCTTCCTCTGAACCTTAAAGGTGACTGCTATTGGTGTGTTGTTTTGCAGAAATTGTTCAGTACATGTACTAATATTTATGCTTCTCTAACTGAGATTAAATGCCCTTCAGCAAATTGCTTTTTATCATTTAAAATATTATGGTTAGGGCCTCCCCGGTGGAGCAGTGGTTGAGCTCTGGGTTGCGAAGCTGCCTGCGGCCTCTGCGGCGCCGGTTCGATCCCCGGCTGCTCCCCGGCCACCGGAAGAGGGTCCCACATGGCGCACAGACCTCTCCTGCCGCCCGCTGCTCCCCTCAGCAGTGTACTTCGGTCCTTCTGCCTGCTCTGCTCCCCGCTCTGGCTCTGGTGAATTCTCTCACCTTCCCGCGCTTCTGACTGTACCCAGTGCATGTATAAACAAAAAACAAAAACAAACAAACCAGCAAACAAATAAATAAAGCATGCCTCTATAAAAAAAAAATATATATATATAAAAAAAAATTAAAAAAAATAATAAAATATTATGGTTAGCTTTTGTTGAAAGAATACTACTACCTTTTAATGACTGCAAATTATTCCACTGTTATCAGCCATTTAACTGATTTATTCCCGACTGCAACTCTTTTCCGTTTTTTTCTAGCACAAATAGTTCTATTCTATGCATCTCTGTGTGTGTATTCTTTGACCACCTGGATGAATTTGGGAATATTGAGCAAGAGTTACCAATACTTTAATACTAGAACATTGCCTAAGGAAGTAATAAATTAATATTTATGACTGTTGATTAAAGTATAGTTTACATTAGGAAAAAAATAACCCAAATGTCTAAGGATGAGAGAATATTTAAACTTATTGCAGTTTTTGAAGGATTCTTAGAAACATGGGAAAGCATAAGTTAACATAGACTAATACAATGTATACTGAACACACAGCCTCCCAACTCCCTTGAAAAGGAGAGGTTTCACATCTTTTTTTTTTTTTTATTAAACTTTTTAACTTTCTTACATTGTTGTTTATATTTACACAGTATTTGATTCTCCACTCATATGTAGTTCCCAGAAATCTCCCACCACCAACTCACCAGTGAAGCATCACCATAGCCCCTGTGCGCTTCCCTGCCCTGTGTTGACTCATCTCCCCTCCCCCTCCCCTGCTCTATCTTTGCCTGCAAATTCTGTCTCTCTAGGTTTTTTATGACCCTTTGTACAGTTTCCCTGTATTCCTCCTATAAGGTTTCACATGTCTTATGTAATTTATCTTTCAGAATCGTGGAAAGTAAAAACTCAGCTTTGCCAACAGGAACTATTGTAGTAGCTTCTTCAGGCTGGACAACGCACTCCATTTCTGATGGGAAGGGGCTGCAAAAGCTATCTGCAGAGTGGCCAGACAAGTTACCACTCTCCCTGGCTCTGGGGACAGTTGGTATGACAGGGTGAGTTTCGTGGGTCTATTTCATTTGTTTGAATGCTTGACACTTGGGTTTTCCAAAATGGTTTGTCTGGAGCTTGGCCAGCAAGACTTGAGGCAATACAGGCTCAGGGACTGATCAGAGGAGATGGCAGGACTCACAGAAGACAGGTAAGGTAGAGTTAGCCTGAGGACTCAAGGAAAGATGAGAAATCAAGTCAAAGGTCTGTAGGTACAAAGAAAAACTAACAATGAGAAGCAGCATGAGACGTGATCCCTCTGAGGTCGCTGGCAATGGTGACACAATGGAACCATTTCCTCCTGTCCTTAGGAGGGTCTTGGCCGCTCATCACTCATCTCTGCCTCCATTTCAGAGTTTAAAATGGGAAGGAGTTCATCTGTGTTGGCCTTCTACTGTTTCTCATTACTTACCTTTCCCTGTATGCATGTGAGTTCCCTGAGGTGTAAGCAGACCTGAAGTCTGAGTAACTCAGCTAGATCACAAGTGCTGTTGTATATTCACTCAACTTGGCCCAGATATAAAATGCTCAAGTGTCTCTTGGCCTTATCTCTCAGGAAAGATTCTGGTCAATTCATCCTGTGTCTATGCTCCAGATCCCAGGTGCACTTGGACCTCGTTTCCTTTTATGCCCTAGAGAAGCAAGGTCAGTTGGATGCCTCTTGGTGTCCCCAAAACTTTCCTAGCCTAGAATTCATTGCTCTAAGTTGTGTCATCTTTTACTTCCTTCCATTCTTCTTCCTTCCTTTCACCTTCTGTTTTTTCTTCCTTCCTTCTTCCCACCCTCCCACCGTTTTTTCTTTTATGCATTTGTTTTTGTTTTTTTTAATGTTTTATTTTATATAATTCTTAAATCATTTTTCATTTTTGCACAATGTATACATTTTCATTTTGGTTATATTCCCCAAACAATTGCACTCCCCTTATTTTGATCCTGCTCCTTCTTCTCCCCGCCCCACTCCCCTCCCCATAGTGTGTTTCTGATTTATAGTTGCTTGTTGATTTTGAATTTTTCTTTATTTAGTTTTTCTTATTTAGGTTTTCTAAATTCCTGCTATGAGTGAGACCATCCAGTATTTTTCTTTTTCTTTCTGGCTTATTTCGCTGAGCATGATCCCTTCCAGTTCCATCCATGTTGCTGCAGATTGCATGAGTTTATCTTTTTTGATTGCTGAGTAATATTCCATTGTGTATATGTACATCTTCTTGATTCCTCAACCTACTAAAGATTGTGCTTCCATATGATCCAGCAATTCCACTCCTAGGTATTTACCCAAATGACACAGAAACATTAATTCCAAAGGGCACCTGCACCCCTATGTTTATAGCAGGCCTATTTAAAATAGCTAAGCTATGGAAACAACCCAAATGCCCAAAAATAGATGACTGTATTTGTTATGCATTTTGAAGGATTTGAAAAGAATGAATGGAAATATATACTCCCCAAATGATTGCTGCTAACAACCAGCCCCACACACCCAAAGTTCATATTCCACTTGGAATTTGAACTCGGAATTACCACAACCAAGAGGAGATTTATTGTAAACTTAGAGAATACTTAATGTCGCCTTACATTCAAGTAGTGGGCAGCAAACAAAATGACAAAATTTTCCAGTCTTTCTTGACTGCTCTGTTGTCTTCCATTCCTGAGAGCTCTTCCTTCCACCTTGTTTTCCCATCCATTTTTCACTCTTAATGGTGGCCCAAGTGGAGGAGTTCGTGGGTAAAGGTAGACATGAGGAAATCTCAGAGTAAGTCTCCCAGGACTTGGAGAAAGTTTTTTTGTAAAATAATAGATTACTGTTGTCTTCTCCATCCTATCTCTATTTTATTTTTAAAAAGAAGTGATGTTTGTAAAAGGCCTTTTGTGTATCTTAGGTTGATATGTCCCCAAAAAAAAGCTAATTTTGGAAATATCTAGAAAGGAGATTGGGGAGGATTCTATTTTCATGGACAGAATCACACAATCTGCTCCATTTTTGGAGTTTGGCTAACTTGCTGAGAAGGACTTAAGGATATATGCAATTGAGTTATAGGGGATAGAAGCACATCTATCCACATATTCTTATTTTTCTTCCCTCAGCCTAACAGCCTACTTTGGCCTACTTGATGTTTGTGGTTTGAAGGGTGGAGAAACAGTGATCATTAATGCAGCAGCAGGAGCAGTGGGCTCTGTTGTGGGACAGATAGCTAAGCTCAAGGTAAGTGTATTCCGTAACAACCATTCACTCAACATCCACACTGGGAGTGCAACAGTAAACACAGCAGGCCATCCCTAGTCTCAGGTCATTGATTCAAGTGAATTCTGTTTAGCTGTTGGAAATTGAGAATGATTGAGCAATGGGTGAATGAGGAAAATAGTGTCTCATAGATGACCTGAACATTGTTATTTAGCAACATGGCAGGTATCAAGTCAGGAATGGCCTCTGTCTAGACTTGTAGGTAGTAACTATTTTTATAGTTTTTACTGAAGATTTCTTGTTCCAGCTTAATCTTCCATCATGGCTGCTCCAATAATAAGAGAGACTTGAGTTCAGCCAACTAAGAGTCATCGTCCGCACTGCCCCGTTGCAAAGGCCATTACAGTCAGTCCAGAGTGGTGGGGCCATGACTTGGAAACTTGAAGACTCAGCTAGTTGAAATTAATTTGTAAACCAAATAAACATAGAAGGAATCTGTTGGATAGTCAAAAGCAAGTTGAGTTGTAGACTGATTCAGGGACTAATTTCACCCGTGGGGCCTTAATGAGCCTGGCCATCTAGACTAGGAATCTGATGTTGGTTCATGCTTGTGGCTTTTAAATGGTTTCCATGTTTTTCTCCACTTAGGGCTGCAAAGTTATTGGAGCAGCAGGGTCTGATGAAAAGGTTGCCCATCTTAAAAAACTTGGATTTGATGTTGCTTTCAACTATAAGACAGTAGGCTCTTTAGAAGAAACTTTGAAAAAAGCCTCTCCTGATGGTTATGATTGTTATTTTGATAACGTGAGTAACAAATTGGACTTAATACCTGATTTACTACCAAAGTCCTATAGAAGAGAATTTACTTCTAGTGTTTCCAAAATATATGAAGAAAGTTCTTTATCAGATACAGTAAATTTTAAATACTCTTCAAAGTTGTATTCTCTAAAGTCACTACAAACATTGAGCCTTTTTGCTCTCAGGGCATGTGTGTACATATATGCATGTATCTTGCCTAGATTCAATCTTAAATCCTAAAAACAACTCTTCTGGGAGCTTCTATTTTATTTACTTTGCAAAAGAAAAACAGGTTCAGCAGTTCTAAGTGCTTGCCTGAGGTCACCGCATTAACTAATCCTCCCAGAGTTGGGATTTATATTCATAACCCAGAGTTGAGATTCATAGCCCGCCCAGCTGACCCCAGGTGGAGTTGCTCTGCCTCTTCTGTCTGCATCCTCTGATACTGTCTGTGTGAGAGTTGGGAAAAAAAGGCAGAACCATGCCTTGTTTGACCTCAGCTGGGAATTTTGCATTTCTTTCCTGCTCTGTATGTGCCTGCAAATGAGCAGGGAAAGCTCTGAGTGTTGATTTTGGGGTTCCTGATAAATTTTAGCAAGTAATCCAACTCACAATACGAAATCTATTAATAATGGGGATCGACTATGCATGCTTTATAAATATTTTCTCCTATGAGTTGTCTTTCACTTTCTTGGTTGTATCATTTGAAGCAAAAATGTTTAAATTTTGATGAAGTCCAATTTGTTCCATTTGTTACCTGGGATTTTGGCATCATGTCTAAGGTTTTGCCTTACCCAAGGTCATGATGATTTATGTTTATGATTTCTCCTAAGAGTTCTATTATTATTTTAGCTCTTACACGTAGGTCTATTAATGCAGTTTAAATTAATATTTGTTTATGGTATAAGAAAGGAATCCAATTTCATTCTTTTCCAGGAATATCCAGTTATACTGCACCATTTGTCAAAAAGACTATTTCCCCTCCCTCCCGAATAATTTTGGTGCTCTTGTTGGAAATGAATTGACTATAAATAGAAGGGTTTACTTTTAGACTCTCAAGTTAACTCTGTTGGTCTATAATTTTGTTCTTGATTTCAATTCTCTAATTCCATAGTTCTCATTGTCTTGATTAATGAAAATTTGCAGTAAGTTTTAGAATTAGAAAATGTGAGTCCTCAAACTTTGTTCTTTATCTGCCTTTTGAGTATTTTTTCATACTGTAAGATAGGGCAATAATCTACCTTAACATAGATTATTAAGATTAGAAACCCCAAAATATAATAAAGTGAAATTTATCAGTTATGTAAGTTATATTCCTACAGTCAGATGGAAATGCCTAGTTTCTAATGTCTTTTTCCAACTGTAATTTTTCTGTTCTATTATGCTAATTCAGTTTATTTTGTTGCTGCTAATATAAGCATTAATAAGTGATAATTGTGACTTAATGATTCTCCTGAGTTTTCTAGTAGTTAGATTATTTAATCTTTTTTCTGTCTGTTTAGGTTGGTGGAGAGTTTTCAAATGTTGTTATCCCCCAGATGAAAAAATTCGGAAGAATTGCTTTATGTGGGGCCATTTCTACATATAACAGTACTGGGCCACTTCCCCCAGGTAATGAACTCATGCAAATGATCACAGATGTAGGAAGGCTGGACAAGAAGAAGATTCAGAGATAGAGTATCAGCCAGTGACTATGAAAATATTTAAGGCTCCCTGATAGTCTTTATGAAACAGTATTTATTAAATAAAAATAAATAATTTTATATACTTGTGCTACATCAGCTTCTATTTGATTTTGATATAGAGAAATCACAGACTATGGAAAAACAGAAGGGACATTTGTAGTTAAGTTTTAGTTTTTTATCTGTTGTTTTTTGCAAAATTGTAGAAAGACAGCTATGGTTTGATTTAGAGACAGAACACCTTGATCTGGCTGATAAAATATTAATGATGTTGCTGGAGGTGGGGGGGTGGGAAGAGGATGATTTGATGTGGCTAAAGGGGGTAAAAAGGCAGTCTTGTCCTTCAGACACTTGTGGGCAGTGTTTCCTCCAACAGCTGGACATCCTGCTCTCACCAGACTGACAATTTCTACTATGGCCTGTCATGTCCTCCATCCCCCACTAGACCACTGTTTCACCTCCACACCAGAGAAGTCCAAAAGAACTATTAACTAGAAAACTACGTTCATTAAATCCCAGTCTTCTTAGAGATATTATACAGGCCTCTGATTTTACAAATGGTCGAGAGAACCAGAGACTCAAATCAAAGTCAGGTCTTCTGAATTTGCACAGAATTCTTCTCTGCTACAATGATTCTGTGCTGTTAGTGAAATTACAGATTTACCTGTGGGACAAGAACAAGGAGAAAGAAGAACTAAAAAGGAATCTTGCAGATTATCATCAGGATCTAGACACCAAAAATGAGGTATTCATTCACAATGGGCTTGACTCATGAACCCTTATAGCCCTGCAAGTTAACAACTGCACTGAGGCAAGTAGGTGAGAGTGAGAAGGACTGAGGAAGGACAACTTGTAGATTTCCTATTAGGTTGTGAAAAAGCAAAGACATTACCTTCTCTAAGAAGAAAACTCCAGGTTTACATGGTAATCTTACTGTTTATTAGGGGCCCTCCCTGCACCCCCCTGCCACCAGACATATGTTTTTTTAATTGAGGGTAAACTAATTTAATCGCGAATAATGGGAAATCTTCTCCCTGCCAATTGAGCAAAGCACCAGGATGCGTTTACTTGCCCAGAGTTCAATTAGATATCATCAAATATTTTGTATTTTGGAAACAGAAACTTGATCTAGCCATTTTAGCAGTTAGTCCTTGGAAGAAGTTCAGCTGCTCAGGTCTTTGAGATAACAGCTCGTGTTGTCCATTCCATTTTAATCAGATGGGATTGTGCCTGGCCTCTCATGTCCAGAAATTCTGCAACTTTTCTCTTATGCAAAAACATCATACCTAATGATAGTGAGCCTCATGCTTCTTCTAGACAGGTGGTTTTCAAAGTACGGGTCCGGGACCAGCAACATCAATGTCTCCTGGGAACATGTTAGAAATATAGATTCTTGGGTTACACCTTATAGACAAAATCAGAAATTGGGGGACCAGCCCAGAAATCTCTTCATATGCCCTCCATATGATTCTGATACTATAGCATGAAACCCATGCTTCAGGCTAAGTGTTAGTTCCTGAATCGGCAAAGGCAGAGACAGATGGGAAGTTGCTGAGTCACTTGATCTGTTCTCTCTATTCTAGCCTTTTAGGCTGGAGATGGACACTCGTTTTGCATCTCCTCTGTGAACACAACAGAAGGAGATGGTTTTATGCCACAGAATGGCTGCATTAAGCCATAATGATGAAAGAACAGATTAAGTACCTGGAGTCTCAGGGCAATCGGTTTGAGTGGGGCAGGAACATTTCCTATGTTAATTCCAGTACTCTGTCTGTTCCCTTGAACAGTTTGGGAATTGTTGGTAGGCCCTACCTCTGACACAGGGACATTCCCTGGCTGCCTAGTCTGTGCAAGAACTCTAAGAGTGGGTTAGTTTCTTACCATTGCTGTAACAAATTACCACAAACTTAGTGGCTTAAAACAACACAAATACTGTTTTACAGCTGTGAGTTCAAAAGTCTAAAATGGGTGAACAGGGCTGCATTCCTTCTCAAGGCTCAAAAAGAGAGTCTGTTTTCTTGCTCTTTACGGGGTGTCTGTGGGGTGCCTGTGTCATTTCTCACCTCAAGGGCGCCTTCCACCATCTGCAAAAGCAGCAGCATGGAATCTTCAAATCCTCCTCTGTTTCCCTCCCTCATCTGCTTTCAGCAGCACATATTTTTCCTGACTCCGTATTGCAAAGGTCCTTTTGCCATGTAAGGTAACACATTCACAGGTTCTGGGAAATATGATGTAGACATCTTTGGGGGCCATTATTCTGCCTACCATTGAGTACAGGTTGATTGGCGGGCAGCCCTGAGGATACAGAAAGTGTGGAGGGAATGGAGGGGCAGCACTGGAAGAGTGATGTGGCCACCTCCCTGACCATGTACCATCCTCTTCACAGGCCCACCCCCAGAGTTCATTATCTACCTGGAACTCCGCATGGAAGGGTTTATTGTCACTCGCTGGCAAGGAGAGGCCCGCCAGAAGGCTCTGAACGACTTGCAGACATGGGTCTCCGAGGTGAGGAGCTCCAGAACCAGCCCCTCCAGTTGTGCTTGATCCTGTTTCTTTCTTTCTTTTTTTTTTTTTTTAAAGATTTATTTATTTATTTATTTTATACAAGAACTGGGGTACAGGTCAGAAGCGCGGGAGGGTGAGAGAATTCACCAGAGCCAGAGCAGGGAGCAGAACAGGCAGACTGACCGAAAACACTGCCCAGGGGAGCATTGGGCGAGGCAGGAGATGTCTGCCGCGCGGTGTGGGGTTCTCCCTGGCTGGCGGGAAATTGAACCGGAGCTGCAGAGGCTGCGGACAGCTTCTCAGTGCAGTGCTCAACCGCTGCGCCACTGGGGAGGCCCCTTGAGCCTGTTCCTTTTTGATGCTGTAGACTTTCTTTCCACTGCAAATATAGGCCCATCATACCACTCTCCATTTCCTAACAAGTTACCTGGAAATGTCTGCACTCATGGTCCTCAGTTCTTCTCTTTCCATTCTTTCTTAAGCTCACATCTGCTTTTGCACTGTTGCCATTCCCTCAAAATTGCTTTTTTCAAGGTCTGTGATGTCCCTCACATTGTGACCTCTAGCCATTCTGAGCAGCACTTGGATCTGTGACTGTTGACAGAGGTGGTCATTCTTTCCTTGGTACACTTTCTTCTCTTGGCTTCCTTGGGCTCTTGGTTTTCCTCCTTGATTGATCCTCCTCAGACTGCTCACTAGCTTCTTTTCTTTTCTCCAAGTTAATATAAAGTGCCCCAAGATGTGATGATTGGACTTAAGCATATCTTTCTTCTCTTGCCAGAGTCTATCCCTGAATTAGTTCATCCAGGCTCATGGCTTTGAATATCATTGGTATGCTGACAGCTGCTGAGTCTCTCCAGCCTGGAGGCAGAGCTCTCCCCTGAGCTCTAGACCACTCAACAGCTGCATCTGGATGTGTAATACACATCATTCAAAAACTAAGTATGCCATGACCTTCCCTGTCAAACCCATTCCATTATAGACCTTACCTTCTTAGTGATGGCAATCTGTCTTTCTATTTGTTCAATCCAAAAACCTTAACATCATCTTTAATTCCTTTCTTTCTCTCACATTCATGTCTTTGAAATCTATCAGGAAATTCTGGAGGCTTAACCTTCATAATACATACAGAATCTGACCACTTGTCCCATTTCCACTGCTACCACACTGCCGCCATCTTATCTAGCGTGCATGTTGAGATAACCTGTCTCTGGCCTCCCACCTTTGCATCCCCACAGACAGTTCACAACACAGCAGACAGTGATCTTTTAAAGCATAAACCAGATGATGTCATTCTTAAGCTTAAAACTCTGCAAAGGGCCCCATTCCACTAAGAGTAAACCAAGCAAAGTGCTTATAATAACCTACAAATCTGTATATGATAGTCTTCATTGACTCTCCAATTTCTTTTTTTTAATATTTATTTATTTATACAAGAACTGGGATACAGGCCAGAGGCATGGGAGGGTGAGAGGATTCACCAGAGACAGAGCGGGGAGCAGAACAGGCAGATAGGCTGAAATGCACTGCTGAAGGGAGCAGCGGGCGAGACAGGAGAGGTCTGCTGCACCGTGTGTGATTCTTGCCCACTGGCGGGATCAAACCCACACTGCAGAGGCTGTGGACAGCTTCACAGCATGGCATTCAACCTGCTGTGCCACCAGGGAGGCCCTAAAATAGGGTCATTTTAAAGATTTATTTTATTTATATATACAAGAAGTGGGGTGTAGGTGCAGGGGGTAAGAGGATTCACCAGAGTCAGAGTGGGGAGCAGAACAGGAAGATCTACTGAAATACACTGCTGAGGGGGAGCAGCAGGCAAGGCAGGAGAGGTGCTACGTGGGTTAACTCCCTGACCGGGATCCAGCTCATGCCACAGTGCCTGGCAAGAGCCTCATAGCACTGAGACTTTAACTCCTGTGCCACCAGGGAGGTCCCTAAAATAGGGTCTTTTTAAGTTGACTCATTCAGGGCCTCCTGGTGGCGCAAGGGGTTAGGACACAACCTATGAAGCTGTCCGCAGCCACTGCATCATGAGTTCGATCCCCGGCCAGGAAGATACCCATATGGAACAGCAGACCTCTCCTGACTCGCCTGCTGCTTCCCTCAGCAGTGTATTTCAGTCAGTTTGCTTGTTCTGTACCCCACTCTGTCTCTGGTGTATCCTCTCAACCCCCACACTTCTGGCTTGTACCCCAGTTCTTGTATGCATAAATAAATAAAACTTTAAGAAAAAAAAATAAAGTTTGACTAGTGCCATGCTGTGAAGCTGCCCATGCTTCTGCAGTGCGGGTTCGATTCCTGGCCGGCCAGGGATATTCCCACATGTCCCATCAGACCTCTCCTGCCTCGCCTGCTACTCCCCTCAGCAGTGTCTTTGGTCAGTCTGCCTGTTCTGCTCCCCTCTCTGTCTCTGGTGAATTCTCTCACCCTCCCATGCCTTACACCATATGGAGTTTTAGACAGCAGAAATAGGAATAACCAAGATGCATTGTTTTAGTTTCAGAGAGGAAAAGTGGTATCATACTTCCTAATTCCTGGCTTTATGATCATTTACCAATTCAAAGAAATTGACTGCTCCTCTGGCAGCTGCTGGAATTTGGCATTTTTCCCAGTCTAACACTTGGAGTGTTAGCTGGGCTCTTTCCAGGGAGCTGGGGAGAGCTGACTTAGATATAAGTTCCGATGTGTAGTTTCTTTGTCCCAGTTGGTGAAATCAAATCTAGCCTTTCCATGATCACAGCTGATAAGAAAAACTGCTGTGCTGGTGTCCCCAGTGCTCTCTCTTCTCAAAGTGAACCTAATTATATTTTTAAGTAACTAGTAAGCTGGCCTAACTTCTATCTCAACTATTTTTTCTCTCATTCTTCTTCCTTTTTAAAATACACTTTCTGGGGCCTTCCTGGTGGCGCAGCGGTTGAGCGCTGGGTTGCGAAGCTGCCCGCAGCCTCTGCAGCGCTGGTTCGATCCCCTGCTGCTCCCCGGCCACCAGAAGAAGGTCCCACATGGCGCGCAGACCTTTCCTGCCGCCCGCTGCTCCCCTCAAAAGTGTACCTCGGTCCCTCTGCCTGCTCTGCTCCCCACTCTGGCCCTGGTGAATTCTCTCACCCTCCTGCGCTTCTGACTGTACCCAGTGCTTGCATAAATAAATAAATAAATATTTAAAAAAATAAAAAATAAAATACACTTTCTATTTCAGAACAGTTTTAGAATACTTTAGATGTATAGAAAAAATTACTTAGTACAGAGATTTCTCATAGACCCTGAATTCTGTGCCCTGATCTCCCACATCAACATTTCATATTTAGTATTCACCCTCTACATTTAAACTTTACACTGGATTTGTCCATCTGACCCTTTCTGGAAAGGGTCTTTCTTCGCCTTTCTTAGAGCAGATGAGCTGGGACTTTCCAGCCAAAGGTTCAGATCCCAGCTTCGCTACTTCCTAGTTAAGTGATCTCAAGCAAATGGTCTCTCCATAAATCCTAAAGGGTGATAAACCATCACTGGAGTACTTTAGGAGAAAAAATGGTATCAAGTCTCGCAGGGCTTCACATAAGATCGCTTAAAAAAAAAATAACAACTAGAAAATGTGAATTCATTTTCACTTAGTAGATTGTGCCTTGTAGTAGAAGGAAAAATGAAAAATCTCCCTCACTAAATGAATCTATCCCTCCTACACACCTAATGTCTTTGAAAGGAAGACAAGTGGTAAGACGCAGTGGCATTTATATTTCCTGAACCTCGTCAGGGGTCAATAGAGGTAATGAAGCCACATCATTGGGCAAATGAAGGTTTAAAGCAGATTGTCACCTTGAGGAGTGTCCCTCTCTCCATCTACATTCACTGCTTCTAAAATGATTACATTATTAAACTACTCCATTCAGCTTACTCAGAAATGAATGAATGAATGAATGAATGAACTTCCTTGTCACATTTCTCCTATTGTTATACTGTCATCTGATGCTATTATTAAATTCTTCTAATGTTGCTCTGCAATCTGTTGCATACACTGTATATGTGGATCTTGCTCCAGGATGACTACAAGTTCATGGAGGACAATGTCTCCATCTTAGATTTCCAAGTTTCCCATAATGTACTTGATAAATTTGTTGCCAGGAGGAGAAGAGTGTATCATTTAGCATATGAAACAAATCTATGACAATTGTTGTTATTTTGATACAGGGTAAAATCCAGTACCATGAATACGTCATTGAAGGATTTGAAAACATGCCAGCTGCATTTATGGGAATGCTGAAAGGAGATAATTTAGGGAAAACCATCGTGAAAGCATGAAGAAACGACACGTGGAATCTAGAAATAACATTTGGATGATTCACTTCTTTTTAACCATTTATAAAAATGTATACTGCCTTTATTATCTAAGAAATCATCATTGTAATGAGTTTGATATACCAATGAAATACATTTAAATTAAACTAGCAGGGCCTCCCCAGTGGCGCAGTGGTTGAGCGCTGCGTTGCGAAGCTGCCCGCAGCCTCTGCAGCACCGGTTCCATCCCCGGCTGCTCCCCAGTCACTGGAGGAGGGTCCCGCATGGCGCGCAGACCTCTCCTGCTGCCCGCTGCTCCCCTCAGCAGTGTACTTCGGTCCTTCTGCCTGCTCTGCTCCCCGCTCTGGCTCTGGTGAATTCTCTCACCCTCCCGCGCTTCTGACTATACCCAGTGCTTATATAAATAAATAAACAAAATAAATAAATCTTTAAAAAAAAATTAAACTAGCAACACTATGAAAATTTTATAGTAAATAATGACTATTCCCCTCATTTCCTACTACAGCTCCTTCTGGATTATGGTGGAGAATGATGGCTTTGGAGTCCAAAAGTTGCCTCTGTGACTTTAGACCTCTGACTTTTCACCTGCTAAGTGAGATAAGTAACATCTGTTTCATAATATATGTTTATTTAAAATATCACACAATGCCTGACATATAGTAGGTACTCAATGAGTGTCAGCTACCTCCCTGCAGAAGCCAGTGAATTTGAAGTCACAAGGTTACCATCCTTAGTACTTGTGACCAAACAAAAATAAGTATTGCCAATGCACAGGGTCTTAGGAAGCCCATGCTGGTCCTCTGCAGGTAGAGCTAATAACATCACACACCAAACAAGCAACCCAGTACCCACAACAGCTACCAAGAAGATGCACATGGAATGTTTTTAAATGTATAAAAAGGTACAGATTTTTATATGAAGAAAGCATTAAAACATTACTAAGGAATACAAAAGAAGGCTTGAATAGTATTTCAGATTAACTAATTTAAATTTGCTATGAAATTAAATTACTGTGTGTGTTAGCCTGATGCTGATAGCATAGTCCACAGTGGACATGATAGCAAACAACTCATTGCATCAAAGAATATGATTTTTGCAGGCATGTGAAATTTTATAATTCAGGCATTCTGAGTTCTTTCTATGCCTGGTATAGAGTATTCTAGGCATAGAATTTTGTCAGTGAAATCTCCATAGTAAAGTGACAGTCAACATCCCACAGACATTCCCAGATGAGGAGCAAGGCCAGATAGCACCACTGACAGGAAATCATCAGTCCTATTGAAAAAGTTAAACAAGATCTATGGGGCTTCTAGTTTTAAGAGAGTAAAGAACTCTGCCTTCTCCACTGGGAAATCATCCAAAATAACACAGAGCATAAGAAACAAAAAACATAAACTTCATTTTTAAAAAATGTAGAGGACCTGCAGAATTATTTTTTAAAAAAGACAAGCAGTAACAAGTGATGAAAAATTGACTATCACTTGACATGTATAGCTGGTGAGGATGTAAAATGATGTAGCTGCTTTGAAAAGAGTTTGGCAATACCTCAAAATGTTAAATATAGAACCAGAATTTTCACTCACAGGTGTATGCCTAAGAAAACAGAAACACCCATATAACAACTTGTATACAAGAGTTTACAGCAGCATTATTCATAAGAGCCAAAGGAAGAAACAGGGCCTCCCTGGTGGTGCAAGGGGTTAAGCATCAGCACTATGAAGCTATCAGCAACTACTGCAGCAAAAGTTTGATCCCCATGGGCCTCCCCTGGTGGCGCAGCGGTTGAGCGCTGGGCTGCGAAGCTGCCCACAGCCTCTGCAGCGCCTGTTCTATCCCCAGCCCCCAGCGAGGGTCCCACATGGTGCGACAGACCTCTCCTGACGTGCCCATTGTTCGCCTCAGCAGTGTATTTCATCGGTCTGCCTCTTCTGTTCCCTGTTCTGGCTCTGGTGAATTCTCTCACCCTCCCGCGCTTGTGACTATACCCAGTGCTTGTATAAATACATCTTAAAAAAAAAGTTCGATCCCTAGCCAGGAAACTGACCCACATAGAGCAGCAGACTTCTCCTGTCTCACCCACTGCTCCCCTCAGCAGTGTATTTTAGTAGCTCTGCCTGTTCTGTTCCACCCCCCACACCTCTGGCCTGTACCCCAGCTCTTGTATGCATAAATAAATAAATCTTAAAAACAAAAAAAAGGAAACAACTTAAAAGCCTGTTACATGGTGAATGGACTAGGTATAGTATATCCAGACAATGAAATACTGTCATAAAAAGGCAAAAAATAGATTCCTTGAAAATATGCAGAAGAGCAATTCAAGCCTTTCTTGGCTTGCACTCACTTACACTCCTCCAGGGCACTTGCTGATACATGCTGCAACATGAACACCTTGAACATGTTAGGTAAAAGACACAGAAGACTTCGCATTGTGTAACTCCATTTATATAAAGTGTCAAAAAAGTAAGTTTAGAGACAGAAAGTAGGTTCATTTTCAGGGAATGGGAATAGGAAAGAGTAAGTGGTGACTAATAGGTATGGAATTTGTCGTGAGTGTTCTTGCATTATACAATAGTGATAGTTGTACAATTTTATGAGTATACAACTGTATGAGTATACTGAATTGTATACTTTAAAGAGGTGAATTTTTGCAGCATTATTCCCAAGGGTCAAGGTATGAAAAAAACCCACGTGCCCATCAAGAGACAAATGGATTAAAAAAATAACAGCTAGCTAGATAGCTAGACAGACAAACAGAGAAGCTAGAAAGACAAGATGATGGAACATTATTCAGCCTTTAAAAAGGATGGTCTTACCATTTCTGAAGATGTGGCCAAACCTGGAAGGCATTATACTAAGTAAAACATGTCAGACAAATACTGTATGGTATCATTTATATGTGGAATTTTAAAAAGTTAGACTCAGGAAGAGAGTAGAAAAGGGGTTGGGGATGAAAGAAACAAACTGGCAAAGGACACCAACTTTTAGTTAAAAAAATTAAGGTGTGAGGATCTAATGTGTAACACGGTGATTATAGTTAACACTGTATTGTGTAAAAGTTGAATGTTTTCGCAAAGAAAGTAAATACGTGAGGTGGTAGACGTGTTAATTAACTTAATGGAGTTATGACTCACTTTATAATTTATATGTGTATCAAATAATCACATGCATTTTAAATATGTCACAATTTTGTTAATTATACTTCAATAAAGCTGAAAAGTTAATTTTATGAATGAAATTTTTTTATCTCAATAAAGCTGTTATAAAAAATTAAGACACAGGGGTAACCCCAAACAATAACATGTGAAGACACATTGTTCAGAAGAATTTTATTGGCTGAGCTCAGAAAAAGACATGAGGCTCTTCTGAAAGGAGACTGATGAAATCCAGAAAAGATTTAGGAGATGGAGGCATCAGGTACTCTGGATAGAAGGAGAAATTGGGGGCTAAAAGAGAGTGCTTGAAAATAGATGTAAAGAGTAGTTCAAGTCCAAGCTGCCACACCTACCTCCTCTGTAGTGAGGTGATTATCCGTCCCTCTGTAACCCCCACTGAGGTCTAATCTTTCACCAAATAGAACTTGAAAGGCTTTTTATTTGGCCATCCTAGCCCAGTCGGAGGGTAGAAATTAAATGTCAGGCTGAAAACAGACCAAGTGGAAGTCTGTGTTAAGAGGGTGAACTCATTTAGGGTCTTAAAGGCAAAAATTAAATGACGGTTCCGTTACCTTTCTGTGAAGCCCATAAATTAATTTGCTGCCCCCAGGTACTCAAGCTTTCAGAGACCTTGGACTTTTAGGCGGAAATACTGATCCAATCAAATTTTGGATTGTATCCCTTGGGGTAAGAAAATATTTACTGTGTGTTGAAAGAATGAACGGGTGTTGTGATCAGAGGGATAGACTATGACCAGCAGGTTGGGTCTGGAGTCATGTGGCTGATTTCTAACCAATGGAAGGGAGTGGAAGTCATTTCTAGGCCAGAGGTTTCCAAACTTTCTTGGGTACAGCACCCTTAATCATCTTTTCTATAGTGCCTCTAACCCCAAAGAAGTATCTAACCGTTCCATTTGCTAAATAGTTAGATTCAGACAACAATAGTAATAGTTGGTACCATGCTCAATAATAATAGCTGTTTCTCTAAAATTTAAAATATCCTGGGAAGCCCCTGAAAGTTCTCCAAGTGTCCTGGGACACCTTGGCACCCAGGTGTGTCCCAGGGTCCTAGGCTGTTTCCAAGACAGTGCTTAAAAACATTACATAATGCTTCGGTAACGGCTCTCCCTGCATCTGGGACCATGGAGGCCACCTGTTCTAGATGACAGTCACAGAATGTTGGAAAGCAACAAAATGCTTGCAGCCTGTCGGAAACAAACTTTTATTTAAACTACTCTCACTTGCTGGGCCTCTGTGGGCTGGCTGGCATTACTTACTCCAACTCTATACGGTCCAACATGATAGTCACTTGAAGTTACTGAGAACTAGTAATATGGGTAGTGCCACATGTCAAGATTTTAAAAAGCACAGCAGAGTAACCATTTTTCCGTTAAACACAACTTTATTGTTTTCGAAGAGTGACAGTTCACTTCACTGCATCACATAGGACGCTGTTAGAACGTCTGTACAGGAACGTGCATTATTTCTAGTGTAACAGATAAACACTTGGCCAGTCTAGTCATTATCAACCATCTGATTCAGTTCAGATGTTTTTTTTCTATGCACTGAAACAACATCACAATGTGTTACTTGGATAGTTTTATGTAAATAGCACAAGTTAAACTGCACCTATGCAGACAGCCCAATGTCATACCTATGGAAATCATAACAAGCTGAGATACTATTTTCATAATAAAATTACTTTCTAGGTTAAAAAATACAGAAAAATATTTAAATTTTAAATGAAGGCATATTGTCAAGGTAGAATTCAGTGCAATACAGAAGCTAGTGTTATGACTAGCACAGGAGAGAATCAGAGGAAGGGGGCTCAGTGCACTTTCAATGATGAACAGCAACTGCAATTTATTACAGGCACAGCCAAATGAAAAAGCTGCTTGCTTGCTGGATACAAAGTGTTAACGTCAATATAGTAGACGATACTTTAAGACAATTCTTAGCATTTATGTCATTTTTCAACAACAATCAAGTAAGTTTAAGAAGTAGTCTTCTAAAAGTCAAAAAATCCATCAGATTACATGAAATTAAATCTAAATTTCCAACAACAACAAAATTCTAATAAAAGTTGAACTTGTAAACATGGACAGCTAGAACAGACACAGTTTGAATTTTTGTACACACACAAACACATACACAAATAATTTTAGA